CCACCGGGAGCGTCTCTGCCGAGGTGCCCAGCATGCCACCACTGTGGTGATCCCGCGGCCGGAAGCGTTTCCTCCAGGAAGGTGCTCGGCGGAACACCTTCTCTTCCCCCTGCACCATGGGACATACTGGAGTTGCTACCGGTCCCTGAAACTCTAAAGGGTATTACTTCCGAACTTCACTCTCTAGCCCTCAGTTATTTTCTCCTGTAAGATGAATGGGGGCTGAAGGGGATGACTACAAGAGGTCTCTCACTCAAGATCAAGAAGGAGGTCCCAACTCCATTGCTATACCCACCCCAACCTTCCCAAACTGAGGTGGGAGAGCCCAATGCTTCTTTCAAAGTATTTCCCTTTCCAGGCTCCCTATGGGAAGTCACTGGTCAGCCCCAGCACTGCTCTCCTCTCCTTCTGGGACCTCAATAAAGATACGATCCAGGTTGCTAGGAAAACACTGCCGGGGATCATGACTTCTAGGTTGCCATTCTTGGTTCAGCCACATTACTAGCAACATCAACTTTCTGGGCTTCAGTTTTCTTATCTGTAAAATGGGAATTCCATCATCGGCCTCATCTCATCAGCTACCTTCTCCAGTGGGACTAGAACACACAGACATTGATGGGTCAGACAAATGGCCAGAGACATGCTCCTACAAAGGGCACAGGGGACGACCTCCATCATCTGTTCCTCATCAATGCCAATCAAGTCTCCAGAATCACTTTGTCTGCAGGTGGGCACCCAGAGCCACACAACCCCATAGGATACCTCGATGCAAGGTGGCCTGTGCGTGGCCACTCACACACCCTTCAGAGCCACAGCTCCCCGCCTTGTAGCCAAGCCTCATCTCCCACCCTTGTATTTTCAGGACTGTACGGACCCCATGATATGGGCAGAGTGAGCAGGAACAGGACCACTGAACCATGTTTTTGCCTCAATAGCTCCTCCCATTTCTAGTCCCTTCCAATTTGTAATCTGTGCCCTTGGAATGACAAATGCTGTAATCACTTGTAAACCTCTGTCATAAGGCCTGTCCCAAAAGCATTTTACATGCATTTGCAAGATTATTTCATGAATGAACGTTTCTTTCCCCTCATCCCCTTCCCTTGCTCCCCTCAGTCCCTTGGTTTTCTACTCCTTCTGTTTTCTTCTCCTTTCCCTCTACGGCATCCTATGCTCCATGGAACAAAAACGCATGCTTTCTTGTTTTTCCAAAGAATGCGTTCCCTGATCCCGAGTGGCGTCTGGGAACGCTGTCTACCTCAGTAACTGTTAATAAATGGATAGTTGGGGTCCTAATTTCTTAATTTAGCAAGGTCTGAAGATGCCGAACCTAAAAATAAACATGGGGGGAGGACACACCTGCCACAGTACATCTGTGGCAGTGGGGGGACAACACTGAAAAATTGGTCACCTTCTTCTGCCTTTCTATAGGCTCCAGAGATCAAACCCAAGTCATAGGCTTGTTCAGCAAGAGCTTCTCCTTGCTGTGGCATCTCAGTAAAGCACAGTCAGGTAAGGCAGACCGGCTGGAAAGGTCAAGGAAGTTGGTGACAGGGAAATGGGTCAAGAGGGGGAAGTACTGGCAGGGCCATCAAAGTCTTCCCTGAACCCGAAGGGAGTTATAGGAGACCTGGGGTGACAAGGGCCTGAGTATTTATGTTCAGCAGTGCCAAGATCTGGAGTGACAAAGGCCTGAGTTTTTGTTCAGCTGTACCAACTACCCTGAGGAACAGAGAGCAGGGCTGTCACTCAGCTTCTCAGCAGAGCACCTGTCTTCAAACGCCACAAAACTGGAGGACAGGCTGCGATCTCACCAAGCAGGGAGAGATGGAGTGGAGTCTGAGACACAGAGACAGAAGAGCCACCCCAAAGATATAACCTCTGGGGGACGATCTTTGACCCTGCATGGTTGAGAGGGCTGAGCATTGAGGTAGAAGATACCAGAAGTATAACATGGACTTTTGGTTTTTATACCACAAATGATTTTCATAGAGACTTCCCCACAGTCTACTGATGCTCAACAACATACCCCCACCACCACCATCCCTGCTGGCTCTCCTCCCTTAGGCTAGCCACTGCTCATCAGCCCTGAGCTAGGAGATCTCATGAACCCCAATCCAACAAGCCTACAATGACAAAGGCTCTAAATTCATATGCAGGTACTCACGTCATCCAACTTCCTGTCTGTGCCCAAGGCCAACAGGTTATTGAATTCTCTCTCCATCACTTGACGGGCCTAAAACCCACGTGGTAAGAGGAAGAAAGATAGGCTTAGTTAATACATTTATGGTATCTTTCTCTTTTAAAATTTACATTAATTCAGTTTTTATTATACATTAGTGTGTGTGTGTGTGTGTGTGTGTGTGTGTGTGTGTGTGTGCGCGCATGCGTGTTTGCTACTATGTACTGTGGAGGTCAGAGAAGAACTTGCAAGAATTATTTCTCTCTTTTCACCATGCAGGTCCCAAGGATCAAACTCAGGTCATCCTGCTTGGTGGCAAGCTCTTTTTTCCACTGAGTCATCTCATTTCCCCCCCCTTTATGGCATCTCACAACTGTCTCCTGGAACCTAAGCGGCAGAGATGGGCAGGATAAAGGGGTTAGTACACTTAACCCTTTAGAAACCTCACACGTCTTCCTGAGGCTACTACTTCAAGCAAATCGCTAATAGTGTCCTACTAAATGTCAAACTGTTAAACTTAGGATCCTTTCATATGTGACAAATTAGGGGTAAATGTCATTTTAAAAATAGGATTACAGAACACATGAATAGACAGGCTTTATCTACTGGAAAAACTGTCTTCACTCACAGGACTCACAGAGTTACCAATAACAGAAAGAGGGCATGAAGTGGGGAGGGAGACGGAATGGAAGCACTGGTAGGAACTGGAGGGAGGTAACAGTAGACAAAGATGATCAATATACAAATATATTCAATTTTCTATGAGTAAGTACAAATTATATTTTTAAAGCCTATATTTTGTCTCTAAGGGAAAATCATGGCTGACTACCCTTTGGTGAGAGCAGGAGGAAGAAAAATAAGCATGCACACTATGGGTAATCAAAACTTCTGAGGAGTAAATGAACTCATCTGACAGCATGCACATTACAGACTCAAACTGTAAGAATTCCCTCGCCGGGCGTTGGTAGCTCACGCCTTTAATCCCAGCACTCGGGAGGCAGAGGCAGGCGGATCTCTGTGAGTCCTGGTCTCCAGAGCGAGTGCCAGGATAGGCTCCCAAGCTACACAGAGAAACCCCGCATCAAAAAAAAAAAAAAAAAAAAAAAAAAAAAAAAAAAAAAAAAAAAAAAAGAATTCCCCATCATGAGTAGTGGGAGCCCTGAGCTGTGTGGCACACAGACACTTTTCTAGACCTCCTCAAAATTAACTCATTAAGGAAACTACCAGAGTGCGTGGAAAGGTGGATCAGACATTAAGAGCGCTTGTTGCTCTTACAGAGGACTCAGGTTCAGTTCCCAGCACCCATATCAGGTGACTGACAACTGCCTGTAACTTCAGTTCCAGGGAACCAGAAACCTTATTCTGGCCTCTGCAACACCTGCATGCATATGGTACACAGACAGACAGACAGACACAGACACAGACACAGACACAGACACAGACACACACACACACACATAAAATAAAAAAATCAATCCAAAGAAAAGAGAAACAGGGAGGTTTTCAAAACTTTCTGTCACCAGGTATTTCAACCATTGTCCATAAAGGATTCCATACTGTGTCAGATAAACAGGTCAAGAAAATGCCAGGTGGTGGTAGTGGATGCCTTGAATCCCAGGAGGCAGAGGCAGATGGATATCTGAGTTCAAGGCCAACCTGATCTATAGATCCAGTTCCAGGACAGCCAGGGCTACACAGAGAAACCCTGTCTCAAAAAAAAAAAAAAAAAAAAAAAAAAGAAAAAGAAAAAGAGGAGGAGGACAAAGAAGGAAGGAAGGAAGGTGGAGGGAAAAGATGAGGGGGAGAAGTGAAGAGGAAATAGGCATCCTGAGACAGGAAGTGGGAAAGATGTTAAGGTGGAAGCTTCATCCCAGCCCCTGGCATCCATATGCCCAAAAAGTCTGGAATGTTCTAGTGGAAGTTCCAGCCTAAGCCCCCTCCCCTATCTCTCCAAACTCTGCTGCATCTCAGAAAGCCTGCCAAATGATGACCCCTCCCCCACAGATGCTCAGAGTTTAAATACTCCTACAGGGTATTTAAACTGTCCCTCAGAAAACAGATGTGTGGTTTTTCCGGTCTCTCTTTCCCTTCTCCTCTCTGGGGAACTGGAAGGCCATCCAGGAGCATTGTATCCATTAAATGTGGGCTTTTTCTAATTAATTCAGTTTGATTTGGATTGTTGTATCACCGGAGAGGCTTTCGGGGTGTAGAAACTTTTCAAAAGAGAAAGCCCATTTCTGGGGGAAAAATATCAAGCACAGAATTCTATCAGGATACTGTTTGTCAGAGTGGGAGCGTTATGCCTTACAAATGATGAGAAAGGAAAAGTGTTGTGACATTTCAAATATCTCCCGGGTAGTGAGAGGTTAAAAGGATGCAGAGCCCTGAGCAGGCAGGAAACCTGCAAATGAAGTTAGAGGTGGGCAGGAGTAGAGAAATTGCATTTGGAGGAAATCCAAACTTTTACTGTAAAGGAAAGGTTCCATGCTATGTGTTTTGACTGGTCAGTAGGGGTCACAGCAGACAGTCCACAAACACATTGGCCCTGAATGCTGCCATTACTACCAAGGCCAATGCTGTCCAGAACCAAGAGACAACACAGCCCCACCCTCCCTCAAGCCAAAAAGTGTCTGCTCCCAGAATAGCCAGCACAGCTAGTGGCTGAATTTCAAAAGCAATCTGACAGCTGCAAACAGTTCAGACAAGGGCAGCTAAAATGATCAGGGGCAGCAGCTAGTCTCCACGAGAGAAGGCTAAAAGAATTAAGACCATTCTGTCTGGAGAGACAAAGGCTTGGGCCCAGAGGCAATATAATCAGAGTTTATGAAATTCACAGTTCTTACAAAAGGGGAGAACCAGTCACATACAAACATCCTCATCGAGTTAAACTGTAAGGAAGAGGTGGATCTTTTCCCCAGGGGAAGCCTGGCAGACGCATATTTAGGACAACTAAAACCAGGAAGCACTTTACACAACTGTGAGTGCATCTAGAATCCATCACCCACAGGAAGTTAGAAGAGCCAAAAATATAAATAGGGTCAAGATAATTTAGGTATATTTCTTGATAAAAGTTACAATAATAATTATGAAGTGTAATGGAAGGAGATGTCTAATCTTTTCAGCTGCTGACAGGAAGACAAAGCCCTGGTATGGAGTGTCTCTGAGCTGTGCCCACTGGTATATTTAGTCTGCTGAAGCCTAGAGACCCAGGAGCAGATCCCTACGGTAGACACAGGCTCTATAGTCCCTGTGGGGCCCAGAGCTTGTCCTTCCCTATGAAAAGTTGGGTCAGAGAAGCAACTTAAAGGAAAGGAAAGTACCAAGCCTCAGCCATGAAAGAGGCTTGGGAAGAGCTGGAGTGACCCACAGCCTCGTGACAAGAAAAATATCAAATATCCGCATGTGAAAGACACACATTCCCTAAGGAGCTTTGGCAATGCACCAGGACCACACAGAGGTCTGAGAACACCCTATTGGTACAGACCAACACACACACACACACACACACACACACACACACACACACCGGAACACACACAGCCACGCATGGGGGATAGGTGGATGCTGACTGACTGAAGGGCTACCTGGGTGTTCTGTGTGGGGATTTGCAGAACCAAGGCCAGGGTGTTGTGATCGAAGTTCTCATCCAGGGCCAGCAGGGCACCGTGCACACCACTCTCATGTAGATTTCCAGCATAGTCCCTTAGTCCAATAGACTGGACCCAGTGAACCACCTGGTCATTGGTCCAGACCAGCACATCTGGAGGGCAGAGGAAGAAATGGACAAAAAGGAAACATGGCTGGCCCAGGCTTTTCCAGGTAGAGAAGTAGTTTCCTAGATGCAGAGCCCCAGTTACCCGGCTTTCTAGCTCCTACTCCATCCCTAACTTCCTACATCTTTCTGTCCTCCATGGCATCTGGGTTCTTGCAGAGCCAGCTCCTCCTCACTGCATCTCTGCCAGATGCAACACTTTTCTTCCTGGAGTCCCAGAATGGGTCATTCCCCTACCCCAGGCCAAAGTGACCTTATTCTTTCCACTTTCAGAGTCCTGTCTAAAACCTGCCTCTTTACCATCCAACTGTCTCCCTCCCGCCTGGGTCACCACCTTCTATGAGCACATCAGTCTACAGCAGCATCCCAGAGGTCACATCAATCTGGTTGGTAGCCACTGTCTGAGGGAAGTGGAATCCCATCTGAGTGGACACGTAATATGTTTACTGCATCCAAAGGGCTGGGGTTGTAGTGACCTCTCAGATCTGAGTCTTCCCTGAGGCTCGTTGGGCCCCAGGCTGGGGGTGGAAGCAAGCTTCCCCAAGCCAGACCGGCTTACCCTTGATCTCATGCTGGCTCTCCTCACGCCTCTTCTCCAGCTCCTTCCGGTCATAATTCAGCCTCTTCAGACACATGATGCCATACTGAAGACTGGTTCTGTAGGCACACAGAACCTGAGCCAGGGCTTTGGTGTGGCTGCATTCCTGCCCACACACCCCCTCCACCATTCTGTACCAGCCATAGAAGGTGCAGACCCATTGTACCCAGCACAAAGAACACCCTAGTCTCCTCAGGCCTCTGCTGCCAGGGCTTGTGCCTGGTCTGAGGTTACTTCCACATCCTGCTGCTTACATCCCCCCGACACTTCAGGCAGGAAGGGCCTATAAAGGTAAGTCTTGACTGTCACCTTGGTTAGAACACACCACCTAGCCCAGTTAAATGCATCTCTGGGTGTGTCTTCAAGGGCATTTCCAGAGGTGATTATGGAGGTGGTGAATCTCCCTGAATCTCCATCCCACAGGCTGGGAACCAGATGGAATAAAATGGGAGCTGGTGACAGCCTACAAGACATTCTCTCTGCTTCCCCCTTCATAATGGACACAAACCAGAAGTAAAAATGAATCCTTTCTCTTCCAGGTTGTGTCAGGTTCCAGCAAGAAGAAACTAACAAAGGCCCTGACTGGTGGAAGGGCTTTGAATGAAACTTCTTTGCAGGCATTGGGATGGTAAAGACTCACTACCACTCACAATCAAAGGAAAAGGAAATCTAAGATACTCCCCTTCATATTGCCATCTCACTCAGTCCTTTCATGGCTTACTTAGTCCTTTGGCTTACAAGACGCCAAAGGTGTCCCCATTCCTGTCCACCTTGCTCTCTGTGCTGCAGCCACACTGACACCCATGCTCACACACAGCAGACTTCTGAGGCCTGGGTGCCTCTGGGCCTTTGCACTGGTTTCTATGTCTACTCAGAGCATCCCACCTCTTTTCTAAATAGTTCACTCTTTCTTCATCTTTAAGTCTTTGCCCAAATGTCTCCTGCCACACCAACTCATTGGTCACCTAAGGTAGACTCACACTACACCAGCACCACCACCACCTCCACCCCACACTCACACACTAACTTGGTCTGATTTTTTTTTCCTAGCTCCTTAATTGTCTTGTCTTGCCAAGTCAGAATGTACACTTCATGAGGTCAGGGGGCTGTTTAACTCACTGGTCATAAATCTCCAGAACATCATAGGTGCTATAAGTGCTTAAGGATGAAATGAAACAATTTACATAACTTACTAACTATACCAAAAGAGCAGCAGGTCATAATAAGTAGTGAATAAACAGCAAGTCGGGCAGAGAACCTTGGGTTAGAAGGGACCCCACAGCCATTAATCTGAGCTCCTCCAAATCTAAGAGTCACCCACCCTATAGCACTTCCAATGATGGGCAGCTCATCACACTGAGACAAATATAAGGGTCCTAGACCACTACTTCGTCCTTTTCCCTTTCTGGGTTTTCCTTTACACAGAGCAACAGGACAGAAGGCCCATCCCAATTCCAGCCACTCTGAAATTAAATTATACAGTGCTCCCTCAGCTCTTCTGCCTGGAATGCTCATGGCTCAAAGACACATTTCTAGGCAGCCTGTATTTAATGTATTAGCTGCTATCTCACGCTCTAGATGACTGTGAAGAAGCATAAGGACACACGGCCAGCCCGTGATGGGAAATGCTCCTGTAATCTTTGTCACAGTTCCTGTGACTTTCAAAGCTGTTGGACAACACAGCAAAACCATAAAGCCCCTATAGTTAGGTCAAGACAGGTTTGAACGCCAGCTCTGCCAAGGGCTGAGGGCACTGGGAATCTGAAAGATGGAGTCCTACCTCTCTTTCAGGGTTGTGGTGAGGATTAAAAGTGACCATGAATGGGAAGGCTCAGAACATCTCGTGGACTCAGAAACAGAACCACTATTATGAAGGTAGAAGATTGATGTATGTGTGGAGTGGGGTCAACCCAAACGGCAGAACCCCACTCAACAGACTACCCCAGTCCTAGGAGAAGCACTAGGTGAGATGTCAAAAGATGAGGGCATCAGCACCACCTGGACAAGTGAGCAGGTAGAAACAATGTCTCCTTGATTTGCTGCCTCTGTTGGTAGGTTAAGACATAAATATCCCTTTCTTGTCATAAAAATAATGACTTACATGAATGTCTCCAAAAGTGACTTGGTGGTGCAACCCGGTAATCCAAGCTATTCAGGAGGCTAAGGCAATAGGACTCCAAGTTCAAGGGTTATTACAGAATGAGTTAAAGACTAGACAACTTAGTGAGACCCTGTCTCAAAATACAAAGAAGGCCAGGAAGGTCAGGCACAGTGGCACATGCCTATAAACCCTACACTTGGAAGTAGAAACAGGAGGATCAGAAACTCAAGGTCATCCTTGGCTACACAGAAAGTTTAAGGCCACCCTGAGTCACATGAGTCCCTGTTTCAAAGACAAGGAGAGGTGGCTTGGGGTAAAGCTCAGTGTCAGCATGCCTGACTGCCTGTGTTAAGACCCAAGTGTTGCAACAAAGGAATACAATCCAGACCCAAGAACATGCTTTTAAGGCCAGGCATGAGGGCTCATGCCTGTAATCCCAATATTTGGAGGATAAGACAGGGGTGCTGTGATTTTGAGGCCAGCATGAGCTGCAGAGTGAGTCCTTGTCCCAAACTCCAATAGAAAAAAGAAAAGAACATGCTACTGGAATGTTGAGTACAATAACCCAGAGTGAATGGCAGAGGCCAAGTGTGTGGTGACACCTTGGAAACCTGAAGAACCAAGGAGCTGCTCAATAGCCCGTGGCAGGCTGGCCTTCTCCCCACTCCTCACAGTGTGGCTGTGGGAGGACTCCCACTGTCCTGGTAAGACTGGAGAGGGCCTTCTTCCTCAGTCCAGGCACATGCCAGACCGGCAGAGGAGCAACACATCTTCTGCCTATCAATCACACTAGAGGAGACAGGTGCAGCTGGGCCTGGCAGCCACCCAGGCAAAGACAAAAGACTCCCTTTCAGCAAGGGGTGAAGGGCAGAGAAGACATAGCTTAGCTTCCCTGCAGCCCTCACAAGTTGCTGTGGGGTCAGAAAGGCTAAGGGGCCCAGGACTGAACTTGAGTCCTCAGACTTAGTTCCACCTGCGCTCTGCCGTCATCCCTAAGCTACTGCTCCCTCCCATGCCTCAGTTCCCTCATCCTCATCCTTAACCAGATCCTGTCCACATTTAAATCTCTGTGGCATATCAAAATCCTAAAAGGAACTAGAAAAGTCACAAAAACTAGAAAAGTCTTACTATCTACTTGAGGCAAAGGCCCGGATTAAGTAACAAGCAGGGCTACAAGAAGCTGGGCAAGAACTTTTAACGCAGTCAGCTCTTAGAGCTGTCCCTACCAGCCTCATTCTGCAGTGCTGAATGGGAGTAGGCCGTGATACTAGCTGTCGTTCATGAGCTAGCTGGGAAGCAGGCTAGAGGGGCTGTTGTGTCTGGGTTGCAGTGTGACCATGGAACTTCCCATCTTTCAAGAGAAGCCAGAATCCCAGACATTTAGATAGAAATTTCTGTTAAAAACAGTGGCATCTGAGCGTTGTCTGAGCGATGGTGGCACACGCCTTTAACCCCAGCACTCAGGAGGCAGAGGCAGGCGGATCTCTGTGAGTTCGAGGCCAGCCTGGTCTCCAGAGCGAGTACCAGGATAGGCTCCAAAGCTACACAGAGAAACCCTGTCTCGAAACCCCCCCTCAAAAAAAAAAAAAAAACAGTGGCATCTGGACCTGAAGAGTTGGCTCAGTGGTTAAGAGCACTGGACACTCTTCCAGAGGACCTTGGTTTAATTCCCAGAACCCACATGGTGATCCACAATGGTCTGATGTCCTCTTCTGTCTTCCACAGGCAATAGGGATACATGTGGTTCACATGCAAGCAGGTAAAACAGCCATACACATAAAATAATAAAATAATAAAAATTAAAACAAAAAACAAAATACTGGCAACCAAATTCATGATTTTTTAAAAAACATGTGGGCCAAATAAAATGTCTCTAGGCCAAATTCTGCTCCCAGGCTTTCCAGCATGGGGCCTCCACCGTGACAGGTTTAGACAGATCTTTTCAGTCAAAAGATGACAAGGATTAAGGACATGGGTCCAAAGTTGAGGGACTCCCACCGGTGATGCGTAAGTACAGCAAGCCCATGGCCCCTGTGGCTGTGCGCTGGTTCCTCCTGTGTTTCAACACTTGGTCTCCAGATGGGCGGCACTGGTTGGAAACAGCGCGGAGCTCTTAGGAGGCAAAGCCCCATTAGGTAAAATAAGTCTTGGGGGTGGCTTTTGAAGGTTTACATCCTGGCCTCACTCACTGTTCTTTCTCTAATTCCGGGGTGCGAATGTGATATGATCATCCAGCTTCCTGCTCCTATGCCAGGCCTCCTCCCCTGCCTACTGCCATGTCTGTCCCACCATAATGGTCTGGGACTAAAACCAAAATAAATCCTTTCTCCATTAAGCTGTTTTGTCAAGGCTTTTTTTGTTTGTTTGTTTTTTAAATCACAGAAGCAATAAAGAGACTAATACAGTGCCCCTTTGGAGATGTGAATGCTCTGTACTCTGCTCTGGCTACCTGCTGCCATCCCACTCATACCACTATGAACTCACCCCTGAACCTGGGAGTCCAGATACAGTTTTCTCCCGTAGGTCACTTTTGGCCATGGTATTTTATCACCACAACGAAAGTAACTATGCAGGGTGATGACTCAAAAACTGAAGGATGGAGACAGAAGATGTTTTGACACTTGGAGAATAACCAGAGAAAAGGAATAATTAGGGAGCAGAAAGGGAAATTAAAAAAAAATGGGTGGGCAAAAGATAGGAGAATTGATGTTGAACAAATACATCATGTGTTCAATATTGTCTACAAGATTCAGCAATATGTCACACATAATTTTGCATGTCAATATATTATAAAGTGGAAAAGGAAACTACATTTTTACTGAATATTAGTTTTGGGCACTGGCAAGGTATTTTCTTTGTAGGCATTATTAATAATAATGCTGTTTAGTATTACTAACAAGTATTTTAAGAAATCTGTCAAACTACACTCTATGTAAGATGAGCAATAATTAATACCTAAGTCTCCTGATTCGTTACTTCTTCAAAGGAAGATGCTAACTTAGGAAATGAAGCACATTTTCTGAAAAACGAGACTAATAAATTCCTAAAAAGAAAAAAGAAAAAAAGAAACTAATACAGATGCTTAGTATTGATTATTAGTGTGAGGGTATCTATAATTGTCTAAAACATGAGCCTCGGGGCTCTGTGAGGAATTATCTAGATTAGATTATCCTCTAACCCGTCTGTGAGGGATTATCTTGGTTAGGTTAATTGAGATATGACAGTCCTCCCTAAGAGTGGGTAGCAGCAGTCCCTGGGCTGGGGTCCTAGACTGTCTAGAAAGGAGAAAGCCAACGAAGCCCTGGCATCTGTCTCCCTCTTCTCCCTGACGACTGAAGCAGAGAGGCCAGCTGCCTCACGTTCCTGCCTCTTCATGTCTCCATCATGATGGACTGTGCTCTGGAACTGTGAACCAAAACAAGCCTTTCCTTCCCTAAGTTGCTTTGACAGGGTATTTCATCACAATGATGACACAGCCTAGAAGAAATACTGTACCTAAATTCAGTGCCAGATTCACTGTAAGCCCTCTTGGTTAACACAGAGAAGTCAGCAAGCCCAAAGACAAGCAAGGAAATTCAGAGTGAGAGGAACTCTCAAAGATGATGCTAATGAAAAAAAAAAATGACTTGTGTCCTAAGGGTTAAAGGTGACAGGATCAAATCCACAAACTGCAGAATGGGACAAGAACATGGGAGAGTTTCATGACAGGGAAACCTATTGCTACCCAGAACAGGCCCTAGGAGACAAGGGGCCCCTCCATTTCTGAAGACAGAGCCCCAGGGCTTAGGGAGAGGCCACATCAAGGTGGTGGCCCTGACTCCAGCCTAGCTCACCGATGAAAACTGTCCACCATCTTGAGGTGGACCCGCAGGTCCTTCTTGGTGAGGTGATCCAGCATCCGAGCATCCACCAGGCACTCCATGAAGTAGCTGCGGTACTGAGGGAGCCCCAGGCTGGGCAGCCACTCATTTCCAATCCATTCATGATTCATGTCTCCGTAGGCCAGGGTCTGGGGACATGAGAAGGAAGGGGACATGGTGGGGACAGTGCCAACAGATTAAAGATGGCATATTTATTTGGGAGAAATACCAATCCATCTTCCACCCGTGAGGAAGGGAAAGCTGCTCAGTAATACTTCAGCTTATTTTCACTAAGGAACTGGTAATGGTGGGAAGTGATAGAAGTATTTCATGAAGGATCTCAAAATGACTCGGTTCTGCTCTGGTATCAACTGCCTACACCAGCGAACAAGAGCAAGTAGTAGAAAAATAAAAAGAGTCCTTCCTGTCACCTCTGCCTGTGTAGCGTGAATGGACAACTTGCCTCCCTTATCTCAGCTAGTCTCAGGCCTGCTGAGGCAGAAGAGAGGCCAGGTTACATTGGCTCTGCAAACGATGACAGCCTGGCTCTGGGGAACGGCTAGCTCCTCAGTCCAAGGGATGATTAAATGTTAGCTGAAGACAGAAAACAAAGCAAGGGACAGTAGCCTGTGCCTGAATAGCTGGTTTGTTTCCCTAAGGCCTGGTCATCTCTCCAGGAATTCTCCAGGTCCTTAGTTGATGTTCTCATGCCCACTGCCACCTGTGAGGTCTGTGCTATGGGGCAAAGCCTCTGGATGACAGCCATGGGGGCTCCTTGACCACCCAGCTTTAGAAAGGTTCAGTTTCTATAGCAACCCTCTACCTCCTCTCCCTTACCTGCTCGATATTTTCAGACTGAAAAGTTCTATTTTAAAAGGAAATTTACATGCTGATATATGTAAAATTGTATGCCACATATGTTTATTACCAAGGATACAAATGAAGTTATCCTTCCCTGGTCAGCATCCAAGTTCAGAACTAGTACAGCCTCTGCCCTTTCCCCGGCATTCCATTCCACGTGGCCCTTCCCGCACAAAACTGCTATACTTTTGAGACAGGGTTTCTCTGTGTAGCTTTGGAGCCTATCCTGGCACTCGCTCTGGAGACCAGGCTGGCCTCGAACTCACAGAGATCCGTCTGCCTCTGCCTCCTGAATGCTGGGATTAAAGGCGTGCGCCATCAACGCCCGGCTAAAACTGCTATACTCTTATTTTCTACCATTCTTCTACTCTTAGAAACAAGGCTTTACAATTATCAGAACATATATTCGCTGAACAATACATTAGCTTGGCGTGCTTTTTGGTTTATCTAATTCCATAAAGCCATCGGGATCAGCATTTTTCGTTTAGCCTTGCATTTCTGATGCGTTTAGTGTTGTATCATGAGGCTGTGCTGTCACTGGTGTGGCCAGTGAGAACAAGCATGGCTGTCCTGCCTCATTCTCCACCACAGGAACAACTACCTCACGCTGCCCCTGCATTTGTCAACACTGTCCTTCCAATCCATTAAACTGTTGGTTAATGTTATCTCTTCACTCATTTGGAAAGCTTAGAAGGGCCGATCTTTAGGGCTAAATAAATGTATGCTCACGAGGTAAAGGAGTGAAAGGCTCATTCACCAGGGCTCATTCCTTATCCTTTGGAAGGATAAGGAATGGAAGAAAACTGTATGAATCTAAGTTTCATCGCTCATGAAAAGAGCATCAAGCTGTGCAGGGTCTAGCATGCTGGGGGCCCCCCAGTGCCCCTCACCTGCCATCCTAGGGAAGCAAGAGGGGTTTGGGGTGGGGGGAGAAGGAACTTCGTCCATGGCTCCACGATTGACAAGGGCATGCACACACTGGACTCGGCCAGCTGTGCCATTCAGAGAGCCTGGTGGAAGGATGTTGCCCTGACTGCTGAGAGTTAATTCTGATGAGGGAGGCGGGGAGGGGTCTTACCTGGGCCCAGCTGCCCTCGTCACTGTCCTAGCAGGAACCAGTGCAGCATGTCAGGGGAGACACGAAAGTCAAGAAACCTGGAGCCTCCCTCAACCCAGGCTCCCCGCAAAGAAGGGGAAAGATACCCCAGTAACTTGTAGATGACCAGGAGAAGCTTGTTGGGACAGTTGAAAAAGCGGGTGCATGCATGCACGTTTGTGGTGAGGGGTGATAAATTTGTGTGGCAAAAACATGCTTCCACGGTTCCCAGGCTTGACTAGCAAGATGCCAGGCACTCCCATTCTCCTCTCCTACTCCACCAAGGACCAAGCCAAGAACAAGGAACTTGTGACTCAAGCCGATAACAGGGTTGAGCCCCCTGTGGTCCAAAGCTGTTAAGGGTCTTATGACCCCTGGAACAGAGCCTCCAGTGTACACGGCACTGATTCCCAATCTCACCTTACCCTCCCACAGTCCTTCACCCTGAGAACAGAATGGGCAACATCAGGGATGCTAGGTCTCTGCCAGTCCTTCTGGCGTCACACACTCTTCACTTAATCTTTGTGGGTGTCACTAGTTCTTGGGCTAAGGGGCAGACTCACTGTTTTGGTAGATGTTGCCAGAGTTTCCATCTCTTCATGGGTCACCCAGACATTCCCTGAAGACTGCAGGAGGAAAGGAAAGCACCCTGGTCCTGGATGTGCCCTACCCCCACCCTAAGATCCCCAGCAGGAGGTCCCAAGTACAATTCTCCCTTCCCCCGAACTCCACCCATGGATCCAGCCCATAGCTCCCCACAGTCTAGTTCTAAGCAGCCCATCCTAAAAACTATCCAGAGAGCTGCAATTATTGTCAGGTAGGCATGGAGAAATGAAGTCTATGGGTGGTCCAGGAAACCAGACCCACTGGGATCCTCCTAGAATCCACATTGTACTCTCCTGAAGACTGGGGGAGAGTCTTCTGTGGAGATGGGAAGTTAAGAAAGAGCTCAATGCTCCCCTATTCCTGGAGACCGGTGGGAGACTGTATAAACACTATGTCTGTACCTCTGTAGGTGTAAAGGTAAAGGAGGCTACTCACAGTCCTGGAGGTAGGTGGGGCTGAGGGGCTAGTCAGTGACACCATCTCCTGGATGGCCAAGCGGAGCTTGAGCCGGTGCAGGGCATTGCTGATGCCGATTTCCCGCTGGATCTCTGTGTCTGACAAGGCGGACATGATGGCACCACTCTTGACATTGGCCCTGCAGGCCGCCACATACCAGGCAGGCATCCCTACCCAGAGCTGCAGACATGGAGCATACTCAGCATCACTTTGGTGGTTACTCCTAGGGTACCCTGATAGAAGAGTCAGTCTGCCTGTGAAAGACTGATGCCTCTGTAATTCATTCCTTTTTTCTTGGTATGGCACATATGTATTTATCTGGGAGAAATACTCTGGTAAAGTTATAGGGACATCATGCCTGCTGCTTGTGAGTCCTGATCTCACCGAACAAAGGTGCAAAGCAAAGCCCAAGAGCAGACACAAGAGACTTAAGTTCAGAGAGGACTGTCCTGACTTGGTAGGGATGGGGAGACCAACAAACCTACCCCATATGGTCTTCCCTCCAGATCCCAGAGCATCTCCCCTGCCCAGGCTCACCTCCAGCCAGGAGACCACCGTGGGGCCATCCCATTGAGCAAAGGGCATTCCTTTTCGGCGAGCATCTTCAAGCAGCTGGTGTCTTGGGGGAGGAACAACAGGCTCACTAGTCTTTTTTTTTTTTTCAACCAGGCTGACTCCTGGGGACCACTCCAGGCTGGGCCAAGAGCTGGCATTCGTACTTCCCCAGCTCCCCACCCTTGAATTCTTCTGCTCTATGCCTGAAGCAATATGAAACTTCGAAGTGGGGCAGGAACACCCTCCATGCCCACAGTGCTCTCACACCTCACACACACTGACTTAGCCATCTCCATGTGCCCTGCAAGAGAACCATGGGTCCCAGATTACTCTCCAACAGCCCTCTTGCTTCCTGCTCCCTAGGATCAACCTAACACCCTGCTCTCAACTCAGGACTGCTCAGATGTGCCCACATGGACCGAGCCTTATCAAGGCTCTGTCTCTCTGAGCTCAGTCTATGACAAAACATGGGAAGGAAAGTGGCTGGGGGCCTGGGCCACCCTAGTGGCACCTGGCCTGAGGCTCTTACTTCTTTTTCAGTCGCCGGTCCTTCTCTGCCTGGGTCCCCAGCTTGGCAGGTACCATTGGTTCCTGCAGACTGAGCTCGGAGTCTGTGAGCAGAACTGGAAAGGAAGGCATGTGCATGTCAGCGGCCATTCTGCTTCTGCCTTGGCCTGGACCAAGAAAACCAAGCAGCAGCAGATGCCTCCTCAGCACAGAGCACCCCAACCAAATCTGAAGGGTCCCCCTTACTCCCAGGGATGTCTCCCAAAATCTCCGCATTCCATGCAGCCCCAGAGTGACACCAGTGGCTTATCCCCTGGGGATCCTCAGCCCTAGGAGTGTTTTCCAGAGAGACAGACCAGAGTTGTCCCACTCTAGAACCCTAGACAGAGTTCTTTCTCTAAGCCAGGGTATGAAGCACATCCTGAGTAAATATGAATAGACATCAGAAATAACGATCCTGACTTGATAAAGAAACTCTTAGCCAGGCAGTGGTGGCTCACACCTTTAGTCCCAGCACTTGGGAGGCAGAGGCAGAGGCAGGTGGATCTCTGTGAGTTTGAGACCAGCCTGGTCTACAAGAGCTAGCTCCAGGACAGCCTCCAAAGCCACAGAGAAAACCCTGTCTTGGAAAACAAAACAAAGAAACTCTTGGGCAGTATCTCTAGCTGCATGTATTGCACACCCCTCTTTTTCTCTCCCCTCCCCCCCCCCCCCCCCCCCGTCTCCACGTGTATGTCTGTCTCCCTCTGCCTTTCTGTGTCTCTCTGTGCTCACCCCACATGCATTCACTTCACAACAGTCTCACTTTGTGTGCACTGACTTCGTGCACACACACACTTGGTGTGCTTTTGCGGGCCAGGTGTTCTTTCGCCAGGTGCTTTCACTTGCACAGACTACAAAGGGGAACAAGCACTCTTCACTCTCTTCTATTGATGATCTCCCAGATTCATGAGGAGACCCTGGAGGATTCCTGAGAAAGGGCATTGTCCTTAAAGCCACTGTAGGCCTGGCCACTCTAATTCTCATGGCAGCAGATGTGGAAAATGCAGAAACTACTCCGTTTCTTAGGTGTCAGTACCGTGCGAGGAGCAAGAAATCACACAACTTCTCACAACATGGCTCTGCCACCAAGCAGACCTTCCATGCCTCTGCCACCAAGCAGACATTCCTCAGGCTGGCTCCACACACCCTGCCTGTCTGCTTTGCCTTACTCCCAGGCTGAGACTCTCACATCTGGAGCTGGAAACACCCACCCTCCTTCACTCAGATAGCCATGTTCTGATTCACTCCTTCCCTGGAATGTGAAGTCAGGGAAGGTCTAATTATACACTTAGGCCCGAAGGTTCCTTCCTTCTGATTCAGCAATGTTCCCACTGCTCTGAGGGACTTCTTACTTTCTTCTTATCAGGAGCTGGTCTGGGCTAGCCATCCATTCCTCTGCCCCTATCTTTCCACCTCTTCCTCCTCTACTCGAGCAGACAGTGGCACACATAGCCCTTTTCCCCACGGCTTTCCCTCCTCAAGCTGCACCCTCTCCCAGTATCTCCTTGTCTTAGCTACATTCTGTAAATGCACAAGCTTCAGCTCCAGAGCTGCCCAGGGAAGAAAACCTGTCCTCATCCCCAGACCCTCCACAGCTACTTCTGGGTCCTGAAGCACCTGGGCCATCTCCATATCATAGTGTTTTGAAATAATCTCCTTGTTTTTTCCCTTTTAATCAGCTGCCAGGCCCCCTGAAGAGCTATGGCACCATCCCCTGTACTGTGCTGGACGGGGGCTACTCGCTTGGTGTGTGAACAAATGGCTGGGGAAATGATGGGAGGAGGAGGGAGGGAGGGAAAGGGGAAGGGAGGAAAGAAGAAGCGGACAAGGGAAGGAGAAAGTAAACATTTACTGTGTGCCGTCCACATGCCAAGCATGATGACATCATGCACTGCCACATGATGACAGAGGAGTCACTCCTGTCCAACCACCTTCTCCAGTAAAAAAGGCTACTAGGCCAGAGAATCTGCAATCCCAGCACTTAGCAGGCAGAGGCAGGAGGATTACCATGAGTTTAAGGCCATCCTAGGCTACATAGCAAATATCAAACCAATCTAGGCTACATAGCAAGCCTCTCTCTCTCTCTCTCTCTCTCTCTCTCTCTCTCTCTCTCTCTCTCTCTCTCTCTCTGCATACATACATACATACACAAATAAACAAACAACAAAAAAATTGTAAGTTATAATTAGAACCCAGCCTGGTAGCTCAGGCCTATAATAATTCCAGCTATTGAAAACTGAGGCAGAAATATCTTAAGTTCAAGGCTAGTATGGACTACAGAGTGAATTTCAAGGCCAGCTTGGACAACACAGTGAGACCCAGTCTTAAAATAAACAAAGGGCTCTGGATATAGCCCAATGGTAGAGCATTTGTCTACTATGGAGGAGGCCCTGAATTCAATCTCTCAAACAAAATGAAGCAGATTTCATCCTAAGTCCTGTGAAAACCAGATGGACTTAGAAGTAAGATCTAGAGGGGACCCAACTCTTAGGAGCTAGGACGGCTGCCCTGCAGGTCCTGAAATGCACATTAGAGATGCTTCAGAGTGGAACCATCTGCAAGGAGCCAACTCTGACTCCATAAAGACTCTCCACTGCCTGGCACTTTTAGGCACAGGAGGCCACCACCTCATGAGGTAACCTAGCCCAGCATGACACAGCTCTAAGAAAACCTCCATCTCTCCAGTCGAAAGCTGTTGGTGTTTGGTTCACACCCGTAAGCCTGAGATGGGCGAACAAGGCTGGACATAAGTGGACCCTCCCTCCTGCTGCGGATGCCCCAATGCCCGCCCAGCCCTCTCCTGTGAAAAGGGCAGAGACCGTGGCCTGTGGCATCCCGACTCAGCTGGATCAGCCTGCCCTTCTCCTTCTTCCCAAACAGGCGGCCAATGGATGACTTGATGCCCTTGCGCTTGGCACCCTTGTGCAGCGAGTCCTGGCTGCTGTTGCTGCTGCTGGGGTTGCTGTCTTGACCCTCCAAGGCACTACAGTGTGACAGGCAGGAGGGAGTGAATAAGAAGAGATATACTTCAATTACAGTAAGAGATGGGAGTCCGAGTTCAGGAAGGGGTTAAGTATCAACGCTGGGGTGCGGGGTGAGGGAGTGTGACCAAAGCAGGTGACCAAGGGAGATGTGGGAACATCCACACCTGATGGTGTCCCAAAGAGAAATGAAGCAGTCAAGCACCTACAGCAGGTGAGATGCAGCCCCTCAGAGGCTGTGGGACAGAGATCAGAACTGCAGCCTGACCCATTTACCTCTTGCCTTCTTCTTGACTCAGGGCTGAGTGGCCAAGCTTCTCTAGCCGCAGCGTCCTGGGTGAGGAAGGAGGAGAAGTCTCACATTTTATGGTGGCTTTATCCTCTCGGTTCTCTTCCCGAGACACTGGCGACTGAACAGACAGTGGGTTGTCAGGGGGTAGAGGGAGAGAGCTGGGGCCTGCCTACCCAGCCCAGACAGTGCGCACGCAGCAGAGAGGCCCTGTGGCTGCTCAAGGTCAACTCAGACCCCAGGGCTGGGGGCAGCAGCCCAGAGGGGAGGGCCTGGGAGCCGGTAACCCGCTAGTACCTGGATGCCAGGAAGCACTCACCAGCAGCTTCCTCCTATGTTTTCTGAGGTCGCTGGGCTGAAAAAGAGAAAGAGGAAAGGGCGAGCCTGCTTAGGGTGACAGCAGAGGAGTCAGGGACTCATACCAGCCTGGGAAATGTACCACAGCAAACGGAGAACCTGGAAAGATAAATCATGGCTCCCTATGAAGAAGAGAGAGCAGCTGGACAATGGGCATGGCTCTAACCGTCTGTGATCATCCAAGGGAGGGAGCAGGGAAGAAGTTACAAACCCTTTCCTACCCAGAAAGGCATGCTGGTGACCTAGTATGTTGTGTCATTGGAAAAGGATGCCAGAGGGATGGAGAGAGATCAGGCCTCCCGTGTAAACTCCCCAGCACAGGCCTGGGGTTCACAGGGCCTCTCAACCAGTGCACAGACTCACCAGGGTCATGACCCCCATTCGGTCCAGATCCTGGGCAGCACTCCGAGAAGTGAGCTTGGGTGTGGAGCGGCCACTGAGTGGAGGAGATGCACTGGCCAGGGACAGGGCAGTCAGAGAGGTGGGGATAGAGCCGCGCTTGCGCAGCTGTGTCAGGTTGAGGGCCTCCATGCTGCCACTGGTCACACGGGTCTCAATTTCCTCAGCACGAAGCTCAGTGGACTCTTTCTCCTCCTGGATCATCCTGCAGGGCAGCAAACCAGACCTGGCCATTAGCCCAGGAGGCGGTGCTGGGTGCTGCCGCCCTTGTACCAAAGGTGGGCACTACCTACAGGCACAACCTTCCAGCTGAACAAACGCCATTTCTGGGAAGGAGGCACTGTGCCAATGAACTATAAGCCATCTCAGTAGGAATCCCTGGCCTGCACTAGCTACAGCAGTGACCTTGAGCAGGTGCTTTGCTCTCTTGTATCTCAGTTTCTCTACAGACACCATTATTGGGCTTTATCTTTGTCAGGGATGACCAAACAGAGCTTCTCTCTCTCTCTCTCTCTCTCTCTCTCTCTCTCTCTCTCTTTTTCACTGATGCCATCCCCTAATGAGGTTTCTTCTGTTCCACTGAGAATGAGAAACACGGGGAGATGGTGTGTTGTGCCTGGGGGCACTCAGAGAGAGGTGTGCACACACATTCACACACACTGGTAGAAAGATGGTGACTACGCTTCAAAGAGAAGGACGTGTCCTCACGCTGAGAGGACACCTTTCCCACTCTGGAGCTGTTTAAATGCCCTTTCTTTGAGGGGGGGGAAAGATGGTTGTGACAATGAATGGCAGCTGTCCCTACAGTTTTACTCGACAGAGTTGAACGCAGGGGGTCTTGCATTGGCATGGGTATCTTGATGCTGACTTCTCAAATTTGAAAGCCTGACCTCATCAGCCTGTCAACTTTACCTCCCTGCATGACAGTGACATAAATAAGCTCACTAAAAAGGCAGGATAAGGTCAGGGTTTTGACAGCTTTCCCTGTCTCTGTTTCTATCTGATGTCTCCTTAGAGATGAAAGGCATGGCACTGGGGAGTTTCTGCCTGAGACTGGATCCTGGTTCATCTACTTAACATGTGGCTTTGAAACAAGTCACTCAACCCCTCTCAGCTGACCGTAACACTGACGAAGCTCCCACCCTTAGCTGGCTTTGTCACAGTCAAACTGATTACCAGGAGCACAAGACAGCTCCGTCTTCCTGAGCCCAGCCACTCCTGGCCTGGAGAGAAGAGATGTCACCTAGAGTCATCTGTAGCCCTGCCCCTCCGGGGTCACTATTAGTCCAAACCCTTGCTTGATGCCACAAAGCATCCCTGGACTGTGGTCCTAAGCTGTAAGGTGGGATGGGAGCCAATACTTACACTGTGTGCCCCAAAACAAAGGGCCCATCCTCCCAGGCACTTTGCAAGCCTCACCCTTACCCCACCTGATCTCCTGGTTGATGGCATCCAGCTGCTCCTGCAGCATCATGGCCAGGGTCTGGGCGTCAGAGTGGCCACCAGGTGAGATGACATCAACTTGAGTGCCCACCAAGCCCCCAGGCTCATCCTCATCCACATCAGAGATCTCAGGGTCACTGTCAAAGGCAGCGGTGGTGGTGGTGGCGGCCAACACCCCCGACAGTGGTGATGGCTTCCAGTCCTTAGCAAACAAAAGGAGCAGCAGTAAGATCCCTGGATAGCTGGGCAGTAGGAACCTGCCTACCTTCATCCCATGGCATCAGTATCTCTGGAAGCCATGAGAAAATGTGGGCTGCTGAAAAATGGGCCAGAAGGGCTCTAACACACTCACTCTGACCCAAGGCCTCAGTGCCCCCCCCCCCAGCTATGTTAGATGCTGTCGCCTTTGCACGGAGCTCCTGGGTGTTGCTGTGTTCTTGTGAACAGCAGAGTAAAGTCGGGAGAGGTAGAAAAGAAGAGGCCTTCAGACTGTGATCAGATTGCCTACCTCCCTAATGCCTCTCTGCTTCCCTACATGCCTCTATACACGCCTCCCTACATGTCTACATGAACCCGCTACATGCCTGCTTGCTTGCTTTTTCTTTTATTCTCCCTTCCTTCCTTCCTTCCATCCATCCTTCCTTCCTTCCTTTTCAATGGGAACTTGCCATGTTGCTCCAAATGGCTCACAGTCCTCCTGCCTCAGCCTTCTACCTACACATCAAACTTAGAGGTGAACATAAATCTTCCCCCATCAGACTAGGTGTCCCCCCCCTCCTCCATCCACAGCTTCTAGAGCCCCAGAACATACGAGGGTTAACTACTGGAGGGCAGTGGCTTTCTTCTCACTGCCCACCCATCTCCCTGGGGCAACTCAGAAACTGGCAGCTGCTTCTCAGGTGCCATTCCCCAGGGCCAGTTAATCTGTCATCTCTCCCTCCTCTCCACTATAAGCTATGATCTTGTTCCAGGAAGCTTGTTAATTCCATTTTACCACTGCAACCCCCTCTTAGACACCAGAAATGAATGGTGCACACCCAGGCACACGCACACATGCTGTAGTGGGGCCTCAGGGACCACTGGCCCTCTTCCACCCCTACCTCTTGCCCACCAGGAGGCTGAGGCAAGGGGGGGTGACAGCTGTTGCAGCTGACAAGAGCCCCAACTCCAAGGCTGCAGCTGTCATTGACAAGGGAGAAGGTTGGGCAAGGCTTTGCACCACACGCCAGTCGTCTGTGTAACTGGAGCCAGACACACGGCCAAACTAACCCCAAATTCCCCAGGGAGACCCACACACATCCCTCTACCCCTTACCTTGGCAGAATCTTCCCTCAGTACTGTATAGCGCCGATGCAGACCTGGGGGTGCGTGTGTGGCTGTACTCAGAGAGAACCGCACATCTGATGCGCTGCCCACGTGTGACCTTGAGTGGCAGGAGGGAAAAGATAAGCTCTGAAGACTGATGGCCCCAACTTACACTTAGAGGGCCCAACGACTGGGGAATGGCCAGTTTGGAGAGAAGCGATCTGGGACACAGCTGTCCCAAACATCAGAAGAGCTGCCATGGAGGCACAAGGCTCTACTTATGCTCTGGGGCTGTGGGGCCAAATTGACCAGGGGAAAAGCTGTAGGGAGAAGTGGTCCATTTTGCATAAGTAGGATCTTCTCCTGACAAGGAGATTAGGATGCTTTCAAAAAGTTGAGCTCCCTGTCAGAGTGACATTCAAGTGGAGGACCTCAGGCTTTTGACAGCAGCCACACAGGAGGGCTCTTGGCCTGGGGGGAGGGAGGGGGGAGGGGCGGAGAAGAGGAATCCAAAGAGATGAGCTCTAAGGGCCTTTAACTCTGGAGGTTTTTGCTTCTTGGTCTTCGCACTAGCAACTCTCTCCAGGTTTCCTGATAATCTGAACTGAACACCTGGCTAAAATTCAACCCAGATGTGTCATCCGCATCCCCAGGAAGATTTGGAGAACCTTGAAGCTACATCACAGGTACAGGCTAGAGAATCCATTTTGGCTGCCCCACTTGTAAAATACAGACACAAGAGTTTAGGGTCCCAGGAACAGTGTCTGGGTTATCTAGAAGCCTCCTCTGTGACACTTCCACTCTGTCTTCTCAGCTCAGAAGCCTTGATGGAGCCCAGTACAGAGAAGCAACAGAGCCTACAATCTATGCCATGTACCTGGAAAGAGGGAGTGCCTAGCCAGCTCCCCCACCTCAGTTCTGGGAAAAGTCTAGTGATTCTACAGGCAAAGCCAAGAATTCCCAGTCAGCAAGGAAACCAAGCAGTAGCAAAGGGCTTGGTGTGCTCATTCGCTGAGAGCTTGTTCCATTTGGACAATCAACAGGAAAGGAGAAATTGTAACTATCCCAACTCCCTTCTCTGCATCCCCCTCCTTACACAAGAGCAGAATTCTTGGCAAACTTACATGGCTACCACCTCAGAGGCCTCCAGAGGCCTCTCACCTCCAACCCAGCGTCCTTTTCCCTCACTGAAACACTGCCCATCCACACATGCGTGTATATTCCCTTAACCACCTTCCTAATGGCTAATGCCCACTTCCCTGAGGCATCAAGAGCGCTGACTGAAGGGAACAGCATGTCTAAGAGACTCTGATTTACAGAGACAGCCAGGAGCCAAGAACATTTAGCAGTAGCATCCAGTCATCTTGCTCCTCATGCTCCCTTGCTGAGCTGAGAAGTGAGTTCAATGCCAACTGCTTCACAAAGTACAGCTGCAAGCCCCACTCACCATGCCTTACAACGTTTTCAGGTAAAGGGATGCCACGGCCACAGGAGTAACACAGCGCCTCAACTTCCAACAGGAAAGAGAATTTGCTGCCCCAATTTACTGTCCCAATTTATTCTCCCTGATGTCTCTCTGTCCACTGTCTCCTACTTGAATGTGGGTGGCCTTCTGCTCTCAAACAGCAATCCTAAAAATGGTGCCTCAAAAGAACTACAATGAGTGGTGAACTCTACAGAAGGCCCTGTGGGATAGGGGAGAGCAAGTAACTCAGCGGACCCTTCAAGGGTGGGCGTGCGTGTGTCCTCTGGCAAGGAGCCAGGAAGCATAGCCTACTCCCAGAGCAGAGGAGAACCTTTGATTCCTTGCCTTTCAGCGCCCCCTAGAGGACATGTGCTCCCTTCCTAAGTGCCACATGAGCTGAAGGACTAGCCAAGCGCTCTGAGCCCCTGTTTCCCATCCTGAATAGAAGGAAGGCCCTGAGGTCCTGGGCAGTGTTTTGGTGAGGGGATATCCTTTCACAAGGTCCAGCCAAGACCATCGCCCAGCATGCACCGCATCCCCCGCTCTAGTACCTGGAGTGGATGCCATCCACAAACGGCCCCCCTCGACCCTTCAGCTGATCCACCTCTTGGCGCAGCTTCTCAATCTCTTCAGACAGGCGGCCCTGTGCCAGGCAGACCCAGGGTGGGATGGGACCAGGGAAGGGCAGAGAGGGAAGAGTGGAAGTCAGAGAGGGGAACAGAGGACAACAGAGTTGGGGACAGTAGAAGAATGTGCTGCAAAGTCCAAAGCCAAGGGCCACAGATGACACCAAAGAAAAGAGGTGTGACTGGAAAATGAGCAGAAGACTGGTAGAGGGGCCAGGCCAGAAGTGGACACTGCCCTGAGAAGAGTTCTACAGCCAGCTGACCCCTTAACACCACACAAGTGCAAGGCAAATGAAGCCAGGCTGCAGAGTAGACCAGGCTTTTGTGCCACACACCGCTAAGGACAGTGGCTGCCATTCCCAGCATGTAGGACCCTTTCCTTACAGACACCAGATCCTTCACTGGGCCCAGAGTCTGAGCCAACACTATGGCCTAGATCCATGGCCTCCATTTCTCTAGCCTCTGTATGGATAAAGTGTATGTATGGTCTGTAGCTACTGTGTTGGGCAACAGTGGAGGGCGGTGGCAAATGTGTGCTATGAGCTAAGAGAAGCCAGCATAGAGCAGCTGCGTGACCACCAGGCACTGTGCCTGGGGCCCTCCCATGCACGCGGGCAGGGCTGGCCAGCAGCTGGGTACCTTGTGGTAGTGCAGCTCTTCTATGTCATGCTGAGAGCTCTCCAACTCCTGGACCAACGTGTTCTGAAGGTGAGCAGCTGCGAGCCAGGGACCCTGACTGGCCAGGAACGCTCCTGTTTCCTCAGTTGTGACCCAGGTGGCCTTTCACCCTGTGCCGTTATCTACCCCCCACCACCAGCAACCACACACACTAACTGTCACATCTCAATCCTACTCTAGCTAACTGGGCTCCACCTTGACTCAGCCCTTTCAGGCAGCCACAGCTTCATGCTCACCCTGTCCACCCAGCCTACCCAAGCCCCCTCACCTTCTCCTCCAGGGCAGCCATTCTTTCTTTGAGGTGGAGCTGCAGGCGCTCATTGGACTCGCTAAGCAGCCGGTCCACAGTATCTGACAGCCTCTTGTTGTGGTCTTCATTCATCTTCTCCCGCTGACGCACCTGCACAGCCCACCCATCTTATACCAGGCCATCTCGAGGCTTTTTCACCACCCTCCTCCGGAAGCATCCGTGTCCCCCTGATTTCCGTGCCTATCACTTGTCCCCTTATCTGCCCTCTGGGACTCTTCTCTCCAGCTCCTCCCTAACCATGAGCCACTTCCTGCCCCTAGGCAAGTTCTTCCCCTGCCCTGGTCCTTCTTCTGTGCCCCTCCACAGACCACCCCGTAAGCCTGCCCTGGAGGCAGAGAGGATGGCAAGAAGACTGACGGGTGGGTGCCCTCACCCTTGCCAGCTCCTGGTTCTTCTCCTCCAGCTGCCCTTCCAGCTGCCGCAGATGTTCCTCAATGTTGCCATGACGTTCCTCAGCCTAGGTGCAGGGACAGTCAGCCATCTTGGAGATCTTTGTTCCTTCTGCTCAGGCCCCATATGCCACATACCCTGGTGTCAAGGTGGTCTTGGGGATCAGGGTCACAGGTGCCACAAAAACCGAGCTCTAGCCTATCATCTTGGAGCAGAACTGTTGTCTCCTTTTCCCATTTCCTTCCTGCTCAGAGCTAACTTTAAAACTTATGCCCACTGGATCTTCACAAGGTCTAAAGGAACAGTCCGTGGTAGATGTGAAAGTACAATAGGATGCCATATGCTAGCCTCGCTGTGGCTATTACTTTACTACCAAACAAGCCCATGTGGAAGGTTCTCCCTTCCTGGCCATCATCTCTAGAGATGATACCCAGAATTTGCATCCCTTATAGTCAGGAAACCCTTCCTTAAAAGTCCTCCTGCTATGACTCACTTGAACACAATAATCACTTCAGCCCACCCTTCATGTCAGTTTTTGCTCAGCATCCCACACACAACACCCTCTACTATAACTTAAATCTAGTGCTAGGTCTAGAAAGACCATGGTGACTACCCTAGCCAACTCTACCATCACAGAGGTCAGGACACTGAGGCCCAGCTAGGGAGAGGTTAACTTTTCTCAGATCACTGTCAGTCTATGTGGCAAGAGCAGATGTGGCCCCAGGTCTTCAGAGGCACAGTCAAGACTGCCAGTCCAGTCTTGGAGCAGCCATCTACCACACTGGAAGTCTCTAAACTTCAGGCTCTGGGTCAAGTGCTCATGCTCAAGGTTCCTTCTTCCCTGGGATTTGGAGGTAGCTACAGTTATCACACATTAGTGACACCTCCAGAGCTTCCCACCAATTAAGACTCCTAAATTCTTTGGTTACACTACCACGTGTCTAGGTCCATGCATTTCCCTCTCTCTTCCAGAGCCCACTGGTTTCTAGCCTACATGCCTGTCAGGGGTCATTGCTCCACAAAGGTACTTCTCCATTAGGTAAAATTATATCCACCTTTGATTCATTCTACCAGAGATGGTCTCTATGTCTAGAATGTTTCAATTCTTCAATTTCTTTCGAAAGAAAGATGCACTCAGCCTAAAATTCTATCTGCTTCCCCTTCAGGGATACACAGATTTTGATGGCATCTCCTCTGGGATTTCATCTTTCCAGATGAAATCCTAAATGATTTCATTTAAATGAAATGATTTAGGATTTAGATGAAAATCCTAAAGCCTCAAACAAAAATATGTATCTGCCAGAATGGTATAAATAATGATATAAGTACTCTGCGTCCGTGTAGTGGTTTCTTCTTAAAGGACTCTCCCTAAGCCGGGTGGTGGTGGCAGACACCTTTAATTCCAGCACTCAGGAGGCAGAGGCGGGCAGATCTCTTCGAGTTTGAGGCCAGCCTGATCTACAGAGTGAGTTCCAGGACAGCCAGAGCTACACAGAGAAACCTTATCTGGGAGGTGAGGGGGGTCTGCCTTGAGAGGTAGCAAGGGCAAGGATTACTCTTCCAACTGAGAGACACCAGGTAGTATGCTTAATGATGTCTTGCACTGGGGAGCAACTCCCTGGCCCCAGCCTGATATGGTTCCCACTCTCCTCATACCCTGCCTGGCTCCATAAGAGCCTAGGACATAGAAGACGGTAGAAGACCTCAGGCCCCTGGCCCACTTGCCTTGGTGAGGGCCGCAATTCTCTGAGCCAGCTCAGCCTCCACCTCTGGCAGGGTCTCTGCCTTGCGCATTGTCTGCTGTAGCTTCTGCTCTGCCACTTCCAGAAGCTCCTGCAGGTGTCGGGCCTTCTCCTCACACTAGCAGTACAGAGAGGAAAGCAAGTCAAGACAGAGCGCTAGGTCCCACCTCCCATCCCCAAGCCTCGGCAGGGAGCAGGTGGCCGACCAAAAGAATCTTGGTTCTTTTCTGTCCAAGGTGCCTGACTTTCTCTTTTCCAAGTGGCCCTGCAGGATTCCAGGGGCTCCTAGGTCACCAAGGAATAGTTTCCACATGATCATCAGGACCCCAGCGTCAGGAACCATGTCACCGCACTCCACCTAGAGGAGTTACCTGGCGGTGCAGGGACTCCTTGTTGGCCAGCTCATTCTCTAGTTTGTCATTGAGGTCATGGATGGATGTGGCTTCTCGCTGAGCAGCCAAGTAGCGCTTCTCCAGTGTGGTGATTCTCTCTTCCATGTCCTCCTTCTGAGCCAGAGCCTGTGTAGAGCAAAGGGTATGAGAAGGAAGGTCACCAGCCTTTCCTTGCCCGGCTCATATCTGCACCTCCGGGACTAGCACCTGGCTGCCGTAGGCCAAAAAGGGCTGTGATCTGTACTCCCCTTGTCAGTTTCTGGCTCTGACCCAACCCTCCCATCTTCCTCCTCACACCGTACCCTGCCGAGTGTTCAGTCTAACCCTCCCCAGTTGTGCCTGGACCTCTTTTCACACCCTCCCAAGTGCCAACACCTGTACCCAGTCAGATGCAATTACTGAGAGCAGGCCTGGGCCCTCACCCACCTCTCGGAGGTCCCGCTGATGCTTGCTGCTCAGCTCCTCAGACTTGATGAGGTCTCGTCGGGCCGTGCCCAGGTCCTCCTCGAGCTCGGTCACAGTTGCACTCAGTGTGACCAGTCGCTCACGGGCCTGGCTCAACTCGTAGTTTTGCTTCTCCAAGAGTCCTTGCAGCTCTTCCACCCGGCCAGTGTCATCCTCCAGAGACAGTGAACCATCAGCCAAAGAGCCAGAGAATCCCACACTCCACCCTGCTCCATCCCCGGGAGGCTGGGAGGAAGGAACGCACGCCCACAGGTCATAGCTCTGCCCCCACATTGGAGCTCAGGTCCGGGTATTCTTTCTCCCCACTGAGCCTAGTAATTCACTCCTGATAATGGACAAATACCCTTGCTCTCCTGTGTTATCTCTTGTTTCTAGTTTTTCCTTTTAGCTCCACCTCTTGTAACCCAGGAAGGGACAGATCAGGGGAAGAAAGGCTCGGCGATAGAAGGAACCCTGCCTGATGCTGACACACAAGGAAAATATGTGGACGTGTACACCATGAGCATTAGCATGAAACTGAAAACTATAGACTACTTTGCAAAGGAGTGTGGAGGGGAAAGAGAAGTGGCAATACTACTGAGAGCCCTAAATCTAATTTAAGCAATATCCTACTGAACGGGAGGGGGGGGCAGAACTTCTCATTCCTGACTTGGGGAATACAGGCTCCTGCTAAACAATTCCCCGTTACCCACTTTCCACAGGCGTTTTGGTCCCAGCTCCATGGTCCCTTCCTCTTCTGCCACTCCATCCCGAACTCCTGCCCCCTGCTGCAGGGCAGATACCTATAAGACATAGCCCCCGCCCCCACCCCCCAAAAAACCAATAAGTCAAAGATAAGACTTCCTGCACATTCCACACCTCCTGGAAAGACATGCCTGGCCTAGCTTCAACCACCAGTCCCCAGCCAGAACAGGCAGAAATCTGAGGAACACAGTGAAACAAAGAGAATAGGTAACCAGTTGGATTTTTCAGAGCTGCAAACCCAGCCAGGCAGCTTACCTGCTGGTGAGCTCCTGCCAGCTGCTCCTCCAAGGTGGTAACACGCTCTAGTGCTGCCCGGAGCCGTTCTCGGACCTGCCCAGGGTAGGGAGAGAGGGAGGAAGAAAGCTATCCCCACAGAACTCAGGCTGGGGCAGCATAGACTTGCTCTGCTACTGTCAGGCATAGGAAAATGCAAAGGGCCTGTAGAGAGGCAAAGGCTCAGGAGAGAACCTAATAGGACTGGAAACTAGGCCAGTGGTAGGAGGGGTTCTGCACCTGGAAGACAAGTTCCCTAACACCAGGTGCAGAGATCCTAAGAAGGCACACAGGTGGCACAGGGAAGCCTGCATAGACTGGGAGAAGGGTGGAGCAGGTGGGTACCTTCTCATCCAGGGCCTTGTGGTGTTCAAATAGTGACTTGAGAGCCTTCAGCACCTCCACCTCACTGGAGACACCAGAAGGTGACTGGGCCTGGCGCTTTACCACCGTCATCCGCAATGACCGTTCATGGCGGGACACTAGGCATTCCAGATGTTCCAGAAGCAGCTGGCAGAGAGCAGGGGAGGGTAGGAGCGAGGACCATGGACATGTGCCCCAAGGGCTACAAAGCAAGGCCCACAGAATCACAATGTCCTCAACACCAGACCCCAGCTTGGCTGCCCTCGCCTCCTCCCCAGAATTTCAATCCTGCTGTGACCCAAGAACCACAAATCAGAACCCAGTACGGGGGACTAAGTAGTCTTCCCATGACCCAAGGATGGGAGGCAGAACCCATCTAGCCAAGGCGTTGCCTGCTCTTATTTAGGTCAGGGAGTGCGTACACACACACACAAGGCCACCCCTTACTTACCCTTGTATTATTCCGTTCTGCTTTCAGCTCAGATATCTCTTCCTCACGCTCCAGAAGCTGCTCCCGACACATGCTTAGCTCCCGAGTTAAAGTGGCAAATTCCTGAAAGCCCCCCAAACCCCACAATGCTTGGGATTCACCTCCAACCAGTGCCCTGAACACCCAAATATATGGAAGGCTTGTCTTATTTGTCCCTTACTTCTATCTGCCCTCTTCCCTCAAATCCCAGCCTGTCCCCACTGCAGGGCAGGAAGCCTGCAGCTAATGTGAGCTTCTCAAGGTGAAGAACATATTAGGATTCCAGGAAACAGGACTACACACAGAAATGATTAAGACACCAAGTCTGCCCTGCAAGACCTGCTTCTCCCGCCATCAGTGACCAGACACACTCTCCCTCCCACTCAGTCTTTATAATTCCCCAGCAACTCTAGCCATCTCCTTTGGAGTCATGGAGGACAGGCCATTCACTGCGTGTCTGGTGGAATGAGGCCCACAGAGAAACTGATGGGCGTTAGAGAGAGAAAAGAAGGTGCTAGAAAGCTCACATGACTCCCAGGAAGCTTTCTTCCACCCTGTTTCCGTGACTTTGCAAGCTGCAGATGGCCAGTAAAACAAATGGGTTGAAGGACCCACCCACATGAGAGCAGAAGGGCACACAGCCCTGTGATGTCAGCCAGGGTTACAGTCCAGCATCTGATGGCATATACTAACTGTCCCTTCCTTGAGGAAACTCTCCAAAACCCTGCTCTTCTATGAGGATGAGCAACTAGGAAGAGTGCCTGGTCTTGGAATTCCAGGCCCATCACATCCCACTGACTTGGTGACATCATACCATCCCAAAAACCATTCTCAGATGAATAGTGGTACCCTGTGGCCAGAGTCTAAACATACTATAGAGGCTGGGCCCCACCCCTCCTCTGAAGCCCCCTTAAAAACCAAGAATTCATAGCCACAGGAAGAATTCTCAAAGCAGTATCCCCTTGTCACTGCAGACCAGGCAAAAAGGGACAGAAGGAAGTGGCAAGGGACCAGAATGCAGAGCAGGAGAAACGGAGGGCTTACTACCTTTCTATCAAGGCCACAACCAAAGTGAAGGAAACATAACTATTTCATTATCTGGAAGCTGAAACCTGAGCCTGATGCTGCTTTGCCCCTCAGTTTACACACATACACACACACACACAACACACACACACACACACACACACACACACACACACACACACAACACATACACACACACACACACACATACATACATACACCCATACACACACACACCACACACACACACACACATCACACACACACATACATACATACACACATACACACACACACCACACACACACACACACACACACACACACACACACACACCACACACACCTACCTCTAGAGAAAGGACTTGAAGGCATGCCCACACCTCATGATACCGTTCCATCCTTAATGGGCTAAAATTCTCTCCTCTCCTCTGCCCCAAGCTGGGCAGCTACCTTGTTTCCCTACCCTAGGATGCTGTGCCCTCCCTTTCTAGCTCTAACTCATCTGATAGTCTGCTGCCAGGAGAATCCCCCAAAGGACAATACTATCCACAAAGTTAAGTACAAACTCCTCCTAGTTTTCAGAGTTTTCTCTCATGGCTTTTTTTCTGTGTACCCTAAGACCTAGACCATCTTTGTGACTTACTGTTTCCAAACACCCACAAACACCTAAGAACCATACCTTCACTGGGCAGGACTCCCTCCCCTTACATAGCCCAGCCCTCTGCCACCCCCTGATGAGGTCACACTCCACTTCCAAAGGCCATCTCAACAGGATTCAGCCTCCTGGGGGGGGGGGGCTTCCCAGACTTCCCAGTGGAGGCATCCCTCCTTGAAAACCATCAGATTCCTGTCAGTCAATCACCGAGGGTAGGTGATGAGAGGCACCATCAGATCCCTGCCAATCACTGTGAAGCTTCAAATGTAAAAGGTTGGGAAGACCTGGAATCAAATTTCAGCTCTTCCCCCAGTCAGCTATGTAACCTTGCAAACATCACCCAGGGCTTGCGATGGGCACGCTCCCTCTCCACCATGATCCATGTTTTTAGTGATAAACCATCACAAGACTCTGGGCCCCTAGGTCAAAACTCAGCAATCCAGGCCCAGCCCTGATTCTCCCTGAACTTGCAGAAAGGACCTGCAGCGGAGGCTTAGGTTATCAGGCATCTCAGGGCTGCCTCCCCTAATCCAAGCAGCATCTCCACTGGCTCAGGGTGGTGATGGAGAGGGCAGACAGACAAACCTCAGCCTCCCTGGACTTGGTGACGGGGTAGACTGCACCTTCTCTCACAAGCTGTAGGATAACTCATGCTCCCATTTTGTCTCTAGCCTCTATGCATCCCTACCTCACCCCACCCCACTATACCCCACCCCTAAACATCTACCCAATGGGTACTAAGCAGGAAGCAAGTCAGATTTCCAGAGCCCATGCAGTGAGGTAGAAATAAAACAGAGAACAAGACAATGTCTTGGGGGGGGGGTTCACAACCCTCCCACAGCTACCTGCACGGCAATATGCAACTGACCGATCCCCCTAGGCTTCTCATTGGTAGAACAGAATGACAGTGCTAATGGCACTGGCTTCATTGTGAGAATCTGTTGATATAAATCGCTACAGAATGCCTGGCCCACACAAGGTGCACGGTAATGGTAAATGGTGGCTAAATTTTAGCTACTGGAGGTGTTGTTGAGGACCACGAAATGGGATGCAAGACACCTGGCTTTGAGGTTCAGCTGGGCCTACAGTCACCTGTGTGAGATCTCTTGTTTTCACCTGCATGGGAGGGAAACTGGAAAAGACAGTCACTAGGCTTCTCCCATCTATACTTTCCTTGATCCCCACTCCTGCCAATTCTCAGTCTCTGGTCAGAAAGCTGTTAGAAATGAGGTTTCTTTCCAGTCGGGGGTGCCACCTACTGGTTGTCTGGGCTACCTACTGTTGGCAGTCATCGAAGGATTTTTCTTTTCTGCATTCATTCCTCCAGGTAAAGCCAGTCTAGACAGTGGCACTTAGGAGGGAAAGGGTTTACATGGGAACGTGGAGATAAAAATACTCTGTGAACTCCACTATCAGATATGCAAATAGATGAGGGATTTGAGGCCCAAAGGTATTGAATTCAAAGGAGCTGGGGAGGGAGCGTCTGTATCCTTACCTGGGGGAGGGCCGAGTTCAGGTGGCGCTGCAGCTGGTCTCGCTCATGAAGGGCGTCCTGGAGCCGGCTCTGTGTGGCTACCAAAGTTTCCTGACTCTCCCGAAGGGACTCTAGCAACTTTTCTCGCTCGTCCAGCATGTTCACCATCAGCTGCTCAAAGTTGGCGTCGGCATCGGCACCGTGGGGGGGGCCCAGGGGGTCCCCCTCATTGATTGTGGGCATCACCTCACACATGATGGGGATTGACAGAGCCTTCACAGCGTCAGGTCAGGGGATGGGGAGAGCTCACAGGGTTGGCACCTGCAGAAGGACCCAGGGCGTGGGTCTCAGAACAGGCAGTGCCAGGCAAGTAGACGGGTGGGTAGGGGTTTCTCCCATGGCATCAGTTGCTCTTGCTCTGAAAGAAGCCCAGGGCCTGCAGTGTCCCTGTGGAATGGAGCCAGAAGGTCTGGCTTAACCTTTCAGGACTGGGGCTGGGTGCCCTGTGTCCCCACACAAGCGGGAAGCATCGGCGTGTGGCCATGACAGGCTGGGCGAGCCGGGCTGGGAAGCAGCCCTTGTCTTAGACTGAGCACCAGAGCTTGGCAGAATCCCAGCTGGGTCTAGCAACACCCATGGTTTCTGGAGGGCGGTGTGGTCTGTGGGAGAAGAGAGTGCTGTGAGGACCAGCTAAAGAGAAAAGGGCATCAGGGGAGGGGCAGAGGAGGCAAGCCCCAAACCAGAGTGGGAGAGGATGGGGTGTTGGCACACGGCCCCTCTCAGGGCTTACTCACCTTGGTGGCACCTCATTAGTTTTCCCAAAGAATGCACATGCCTCCTGACTAGCCTCTGTGCCTGCGGCCCCTGCCCCCCACCCCCTGCAGCTGTCAGAAGTGCAGCCGCAGTGGTTCCCCACCCACGTGGCTTGCTGGCCAAATATAGAAATGATTCAGTCAGCGGTAGGGGAGCAGCCGGCAGGCTGCCCAGAGTCCTCCTGAGACCTGAAGGTGGGAGGAGAGGAAATGGGGTCTCTGTCCTGCCCCCATAGCTTCCTCTCCCACATTCAAGCCAAGGCAAGGTACAGAAAGGGTTAAAAGGCTTAGAGGATGGGAGTCCCACAGAGGCTGGACTCGCATAACTCATAACACGATGAAGTCTTAGAGAGGCACAGTCTGGGCACTGGGGCAGGCAGAGAGCCCTGACCTGCTAGGATGTCATAATTCAGGGACGAGGCTGGCTTGTCACTGCCCACTTCTGAAGTCTGCCAAGGAGAATTCGTGCAAACCTAGGAGATTCACAGCCTCCACCTCTTTGTTGGAGGGTGAATGACAGAGGAGCCCCAGGTCTACATGGGGATGGGGATGAAAGTGTGCTTCCAGAGGGAGACCTTGTGTGAAGCAGCACACTCATGGATCTACTCGCTTAGTATTGTGATTCCCCACTGCTGGCGCTACCAGAAGTCGCCAGCCAGTGCATAAGCATATGCCCAGCCCAGCGGCCCAGTAGTCACAGCAAAGGAAGGCTCAACACAGAAACTGGGATACAGCTGGGAATTTCTCTGCCTACCATCAGCTTTCAACCTCCTTGCCCAGGCCTAGACCAACATCTTCATCAGTTCTCAGATGGAATGTCCTCAGGTGGCCCACTGGAGGAAAACTCCGAAACTACATAAAGGCCCCAGCACAATGACGGGTACATTGGAGACCGACATACATGGTGCTGCCCTTCCTGCCTCACCCACCCCGTCTACAGACATGCGGGCAGCCTATGTCTACTTTAACAGGTAAAGATAGGCAACTTGGAGGGTCAAGATCCAGTATGAGTGAGAGATCAGAAGCAGGCTTCTGGCAGAGCTGAATCCAATGGGAAAATAGAGTCCTAATAAAATAGGCAAAAAAAAAAAAAATGGGGGACAAGGAGGACACAGAGAAACAGCTAGAAAACTCCAGAGCCCACACCACACGCATACACACGCACGCACGCGCGGCAGGAGATAGGGTAAGAGAGGCAGAGAAGGGAACAAGGAAGAACCTAGAGCACATACACACCCTCCCAGATGGAAAAACAGACATGAACTCTTCTCATGGGGATCCTTTCAGCCAGCTGAACCAAGGTGAAAGATTGTGGTCAGGCAGGCATGCTCCCTCCCCACCCCAGGGCAGCCAGGAGTCCAGGAGATGGACTGCCACACCACTCTGATAAGCTGCCCTAGGGGATGCTAACAATGGCAATTCCTACCACCCAGTGTTTCAGAGCCCTTCACCCTGAGTGTTCCAGGCTGTGAGACTGACAGGCCCAGGGCCCCACCTTCCCGCTCCAAAGTCATCAACAGCAGGCTCATATTCTCTCTGCAGCCCCATACCACCTCTTAATTTTTTTTCCAAGTTTGTTTGTTGGTGGTGGTTGGTTGGGTTTTTTTGTTTTTTTTGCTTTTTTTTTTTTTTTTTTTTTTGGTTTTTTTTTTCATGGAAGAAGAGAGAAGGCTGGGCAAAGGCCCCTTGTGTGGAAGTAGTCCTGTGGACAAGAACAGTATGGAGCTTGGGGTGTGGCTCAGTGATACAAGGCTTACATGCTATATATAAGGCCCTGCCTTTGTACACTAGAGGGGGCTGGGGGTGGGGAGAGATGAGAGGAAGGGAGTGGGGAGAGGGAGAATATTCTCAGAAACTCAGTATCCTGCAGATGGCTTCAGGGCCAGATTCTTGGGCAATCTACAGTACAGCACAAAGAAAGTCTAGGGCCAGGCCTGAGGAAATATGGGCGCACCTCTACCAGGATGAACTCGGGCATGGTACTACTCCATGGCCTGGGCTGTGAGAACAAACCTGCAACCCTTGCTTCATCTGGCTTTGAGGAGAAAGCACCCTACCATGGCAGAGAAGGAACTGCCTCATATTGAGACAAGGAAAACCTGGCCTCATCCTTCTGTTCGTGGTCATGTCACATGATGGCACCCCATCTCATCTGAAAAGTTTCTTTTAAGAAAGATGCTAGAAAGCCAGGCAGTGGTGGCGCACTCCTTTAATGCCAGCACTCGGGAGGCAGAGGCAGGTGGATCTCTGTGAGTTCGAGGCCAGCCTGGTCTCCAGAGTGAGTGCCAGGATAGGCAGGACTGTTCACAGAGAAACCCTGTCCCGAAAAAAAACAAAAAAACAAAAACAAAAACAAAAAAAAAGAAGAAGGAACAGGAGGAGGAGGAGGAGGAGGAGGAGGAGGAGGAGGAGGAGGAGATCTGCCACATCCTTTTGTTTGATTGTTAGAAGAAGAAGAAGAAGAAGAAGAAGAGGAAGAAGAAGAAATGATGCCAGAGGGGCTGGAGAGATGGCTCAGCAGTTAAGAACACTGGCTGCTCTTCCAGAGGATCCAGGTTCAATTCCCAGCACCCACATGGCAGTTCACAGCTGTCTATAACTCCAGTTCCAGGGGCTCTGATGCAATGCACATAAAATATTTAAATAGATAAATAAACTGAAAAAAAAGAACTATGTTCAAGTCCCCAGATGAAACCAGGGTGAACAGCATAAGCAGCATAAGGTGCTGGCTATTTGGTCCAACCCAGCTTCCCCAAATCTTCTTGGCCACTCTGACAACTGACAAGCCAACTTTGGAGCCAAGAACCTTTTCCCAGCCTCCCTGCAAACCAGGTGCCAGGTGGCAACTCCACTTCCTCTGGTGAAATGGCACACAGTGCTGGCAGGAGATGAGCCCAGGGAAAGGTCCCAGGCAGAAAGCCCTAGAGGATCACGCAGGACCTCATACCCACCCCAATCCTTACACAGTGGGTAAGCAGAAGAAGCTATAGACTAGCCACATGGGGACACCTGGCTTCTCTGGCTCCAGGGCCAGCTTTAAATAGTGCAATTATCATCTCAGCTTAGCAGAAGCTGAAACTCCCAAACTCACAGGTCTTGATTCAGAAGAGAAAGTGCCAGTCCTCAAAGCCAGCATTTGCAAGGGGCTTTGCCAGGAAGGGTGTGGGGCAGGCTGTGAACAGCAGAAGGTTCAAGAGTGAGTGGGTGTGAGTGTGTGCTGAGGAGGGAGGGGTGCCTGAAAAGTAGGCCTCTGGCTTCATAAACATAAAAGACAGTCTCTGAGGCATCTTTGGTTTCCCCAAAGTCACCCCCATTTCCCCCTAGCAAACAGGAGAGATGGCCACTCCAGTCTGATGCTCTGGCTGGCTATATATTCACACAGGCCTGGCTCCCTACTGCCCTACCAGATGGCAGGCCACACCACTTGCCTAGCTTAGCAAAGAATACAGCCAAGCTGCTCAGAACTATGCTCATGCCTGAGTAGACCATGAGTTGGAAAAAGAAGGAGCATCAGGGGGGCAGGAGCCTCTTTAAAGCCCACAGGACAAGGCAGGGGTCTTACACACCCTAGAATAAGGGAGGATTGAGGTCTAAGGACATGGAAGTGGTGACCCCAGAAAAATGCCAATGATGGTTGCCACGATGATGCCAGAATGGTGTTCTTTCATCCTTACAGTTCATTACAAGGAAGACACAATCCCTCTTCCCATGTCTCAGATGTGATAACTGGGACTTGGAGTCACGTAAGTAAGTTCCCACAGATAAAAAGAAAAACCAGGATAAGTGGTGTAGCTAACACCAAGGGGGGGGGTCTTTTAGGCACCTTGTTGTCCCTAAGAATGCCCTGTCACACCCATCAGGGTGACAAGTCCCCTGTGGAGAACTAGCTTGGCCCCTTCCTCTGACATTCTTCTTAAGTCTGGGGAGGGCCTGGTCATTTCCCTACTATCATGACCTGTCTCCAGAGGTCCATCCACACACCCAGATCACTTCCTCCTGCCTCCACTGGCTCCCCTTGTGTCGCCCACCACCAACTCCTGCACACTCTAATCACACATTTTTCTGAGTCATGGAATTCCTTAACCTCAATGGCACCAACAACCATCTATTTGCTCATGCCATCATTTCTGCTCACTGGTTCTTCCTTCCCAGCCAGAGCTTCTCCTCCTCCTCTGCCCAGCTCATCAACCCCAAGACCTTGCCTGGCCTGCCTCTTCTAAAGAACTTGGATTGTAGCCAGGCGGTGGTGGCGCACACCTTTAATCCCAGCACTCGGGAGGCAGAGGCAGGTGGATCACTGTGAGTTCGAGACCAGCCTGGTCTACAAGAGCTAGTTCCAGGACAGCCTCCAAAGCCACAGGGAAACCCTGTCTCGAAAAACCAAAAAAAAAAAAAAAAGAAAAAGAACCTCATCCCACACTTCATCCATAGAGCCTTATCTGATCCCCTCTCAATGGTGAGGAGTGCCCTTTAGAGACCTATATTTATACCTCTTTCTGGCACTGGCCTTCCTTTACATTTAGATCGACAGACCCTACATAAAAACCCTAGGCAGCTTTAGACACTGACAGCAAGTCTTCATGGGAAAGAAACTGGGAATGCTTGTGGGATAGTTGCAGTGATTTCTACAAGTTCATACCTCATAGACTCCAAGGAACTCCAAGGAGGAAATTCTGGGTCAGAATTGTGGTCATTTAACTTGCCCTCTGAAAGCTGCCGTCTCTCACCAGCACCCTGGGGCCACTGCTCTCTTGAAAGGCAGACTCTGGAGCAGGCTGTTCATGTGACCCTGGGAAGATACTTCTCTCTGAGCCTCAGTCTCCCTCTGCGAGATTCAAGTGATAGCTAGCAGCCCCCACTTCAGGCAGCTGGCAGAGAATTTCCAGTCACCACCCAGGAAGTGCAGACACCACTTTCTGGCCATACAAACTGGGTTAACTCTTTACACAAAAGGCTCCTGGAGCCTTCAAGGATGGACCCGCCCAAAATACTGTCAGAAAATCAAAATCCATGTGACACCAGGAAGCCATTCCTAGAGAATAAAGTCTTGGACAAGATCTACTTGGGAGTTGCTAGCAGCCTGACAAACTCTTCAGAGGTGTCCAGTTCTCTGCACCTCCTACAAGACCAGCAGGGGATTTTTGCCTCTCGATTTCTGGTTTCTAAATCTGACAAAGATTTACGAATGTTTAGAATTTAGAATCTGACATAATACACAAACAACACTTCCGGGATCTCACAGGCTATCCAGAGGCTCTCAGGAGACAGTGACCAAGAAGGGGTTCTGAATGGGTATCACCTGATATAAGTACAGGCTGGCACCAGTTGCTAGCCTCAGCACTCAGCCCTCTCTAATACCTAGCACATTCAGGTGGGCACACAAGGAGACACTGGCTTATCCAATGAGCTCCTCTTGGCCAGAGTCTCTGAAGTTCAATTTTCTGGCTACTCTCTAAGAAGCCAGGTATGGGTCACTTCTTCCCAAGACAATTCATTTCACCTGTGAGTACACAATGTACCGTCCAATCTAAGTCCCTCTTGACAATGAAGGAAGGTAGTGCAAACAACCACAACTGGACACTGGTAGAAACCAGGTCTACCCTGGGCACACCTGTCAGTTTAGTTCCTCCTCTGTGACACTCAATTCCAGTGATCATGACTCTTTCTAACTTCAAAGACTGTAAACTGGACTTTTTGACAAGGTACTTTCAAGGGCAGGCATGGTGGAAGCAGTGTGACCAACTCAAAGGGCTCTGAACTCTCTTTTATTTATCTTTTTAAATCTATTTGTTGTTGTGTCCATATATGAGGCCAGGTGAATGAATGCCACAGTGTGCACACGGAAGTCAGAGGGCAACTCTCAGGAGTCCGTTCTCTCCTTCCACTGTAGGGTCTGGGGCTCAATCTGAGGCTGTTGAGTCTTCATGGGAGGTGCCTTTTACTACTGGGCCATCTCATTGGTCCACAAACTCCCTTTTCTTACCTCAATCTCATCGATCACAATCTGTCATTTTACAGGACACTTGATTACAGTTTCACTTGTATTAAAGGGATGTCAGTCTAAAATGTGGTTTGACAATGCCTCGTTTAATTACTGTCTATTAATATACTAAATACTATCCTCCTGTTTTGTTAAAATGAAGTTTAACCATAGAGACAGAACAATAAACCTGGGGCAGTCACAAAATTAACTCTGGGAGAGTCTGTCAACCATTTTTCACATTCCAGACATCTCATAGAGATGGTATATTACCCAAGCCAAGGGGTAAGGCTGCAGCACTGAGCACAGCCCTCGGCTTCTCCATCTCTCATCACTGAGTAAAACCATTCTAGGCATCCCATACTAATCAGAGCCATCCACTGAAACAAGTGGTCTCAAATAGTTTTCAAAAGAAGAAACAAAGCAATGCGTATGGTATATTTGGAAAATAAAAATCTTCCGCAGCCAGGGGTCTGTGTGGGACAAATGTTCAACAGGGCTCTCTAGCATGGGGAAAATACGTGCTCGGAAGTCACCGCATTAGTGAGCCAGTCTTAAGATGTGGGAGCTATCACATTGCGGCAAACAGTCCTGGTCAGAGTGCTAACAGGTGTCAGGGTGAAGCATCAGACTGTAGAACGACTGTGAAATGCAAGCTCTGTAAAAGGGGCGTGTGTGTGTGTGTGTGTGTGTGTGTGTGTGTGTGTGTGTG